TTTTCGTTCCTCAAGGAAAACTCTTCCCATATTTGCAGGCATTTTCTGCAAATCCGGGGCAGATGCACTGGGAAAGGAGGAGGCAGCTCCTCCCCTCATTTTATTAATCCGAAATTAACATTATTTTAAGAGAGTCTCATGATATTGAGTGGCCTCGCCCACAATGTGTGTGGTTTTTTGGGGTTTTTTTGGGTTTGAGGTTTTTTTCTTTTTTAATGTACACTTGGCAATATTGCCGGTTTAGCCAGGGAAGAAAAAGAAAGAGCGGGATTTGCATAAACCATCCCCAAAGTTTTTGGATAGATCCCGAACTCCTAATGAACAATTAGCCAGCTGCAGGCCTGTCGGGGAGAGGAAGAGGAGGGCGAGGTAAAATGGAGCCTAAACCCAATGGAAATAGGTGCAAGGGGGAGAAGGATTTGTCAAGAACAAACCCCAGGTTCCCGCCCACTGCGCAGGAGGGAGAATTCCAGGGCCGGGGGAAGGAGCAGAGGGAGATGTTGTTGTTTTTAAATCGGGAGCCGGTGCTTTGCCAAACCCACCTCCCGTTCTCCCATGGAGCCGTGCCGGGATGCGGCTACACACCCCTTTCTCCCTGGAGCGCCGCCAGCTCGTCCCGCTTGGCAGCTGGAAAAATTGATTTCAGTTTGGAAATGGCTCGTGCCTCTTCAACACCCCACTGCCATCGGGATCGCAGCTCAGGCGGCAGCCAGAGCCCGGCTCTGAGGCGCCAAAAACTGTAATGTCTTGGGACTGCTCAGCCTTGGATGAACCAGACAAACATTAACTTTTTTTTTTTTATTTTTTAAATTTTTTTATTTTTTACTTATTTGCCTCCGATGGATTCTTTTTAATGCAAAGAACATCCATAAATCCACGTGCCTGGATGGCTCAGGAGTAACGGGGTGTCCTCCTGAGCCTTTTTGCCTGACATTCAGCGACTTATCGCTGTCGATAGCGATCGAGAAGATCTTTCCACCTGATTTTTTTTTTTTTCTTGCCCTGCCAAGCTAAGAGGGATGATCATGCCAACCTGAAAGGTAGGAAAGAGCTGGAATTCATAGCATGTCTACCTCTTGCTGCAAGGAGCTGGGAGTATTGCAAAACGAGTTTCGGCGGTGTCCAGAGCTCGAGTTGTAATGAAAGGGGTGTTGTAATCACCTTCCCTCCGAGCAGCACCTTCCAAAATGCAGAGGGGAACGTTGCAACTCCCTGCTCTGGAGCTGTTGAGCTTCTTGTGATCCCATTTTTCCTCCTTTTCTCCTCTTTGGTGGAGATCCATCAAAGCTTGGACTTGATGGTTGTAGAGGTCTTTCCCAACCAAAATTATTCCAAAGCAAAACTGTATTTTTTGCTTTGCTCAAATGGGCAGAAAAGCTCCTTCAAGCCCAAAACATTCGCTCGGGATGGGTTTGGAGAGCCGGATTTCTTGTTCCCTTTTCTGGCAGGAGGTTGCAGGGCCTCAAGGCCCCATCGGTGGGACAAAGACCCTGCTCACCTTTGGGGGATGTGGGGTTTGGAAGGGATCTGGGGAAGTTCACTCCTAGGAGTCAGGGTGAATCTTCAAGAGTTTCAAGCTGTGTCCTTTGTAGAGTTCTCCTAGTTTTTCCTGGTTTTGGGAATTAGAGGCTGTGATGAGCAGTAATCCTTGATCAGGGTGTTCTCGTGCTGAGAAAAGGTTTGGGTGAATCATTTCTTGGAGGAGAGTTCTGTATCTTTCACCTGTCCCCTGTGCATGGACAGTCCTCACTCACCTTCCAGGAATTAACCTAAAAACTTCCAAAATCCTCCCCTCCCTCCTGTCCTGGTCAGCACTACCAAAAGACTTCAGCTACTACAATAATAATTATTATTATTATTTCTTAATAAATCAATTTTTAAAATGTATTAGCAAAGTTAGAAATGAAAGTGGAGATTGTGGAATAAACCAGAAACAAGGATTCAGTTCTGATCCCTGGGTGCATTTTTTTTCTAAGAATGTGTATTTTAAAATCATTATTTTCTTGTGGACAAAAACTTTGCAAGAACATTAAAATAGCTCAAAAAGACCACTGGACACCTGTGAAGTTTTCCAGTTATTTTTCCACAGCTTGTAACTGAGGAAGGAGATTTTCCTTGCAATTTCTTGTTGCTTTTTGGTAGAAATTGAACAAATTAATTTGGTGCCTGGAGTGCTGCATTTTCAAGACTGGGAGATTACTCTGTTTTTTTGAGGTCTTTTCCTCCACGACTTATCCTTTACCATCCCCTTGTACCATCCTCTGCTTCATGCAGGAAAAAATGAGAGGTTTTCCATGTCCAGCCCTCCTATCAGGGCTTGAGTTGTGATCTGGAAAGGGCAACCACTTATTATCTTCATTAAAACTCCACAGAAGGCTTTAAACTTTGAAAAGCTGCTTGAAATTGGTTGTTTCCTGAAGTGTTTTAATTGAGCAAAGTGCCAGGGGGCTTGGCAGAGCAGGAAAACTATCCATGGATAGAGTGGAGAGCAGGAGTGTGGAATAACCCTGATTTTCAGTGATGGAAACAGCAGAAAAATCCCTGTGAGGAGCCTCTCCCAGCTCCCCACTGCTCCTGCTCATCCCTCCTCCCTGCTCCTTCATTCGACAATTCCTTTGCTCTTTTTTGCAGATTAAAACCGAGGACCTCAGCGACTCCTTGCAACCTGCCATCCCCCCTCGGTCGGGTCACCTCGTGCAGGGATCATCCATGATGCCAGGCAGCCAAATCGCAGGGGTGAGTGACCTGGCTGCCCCTGGAATTCCAGGAAAAGAGGGAAAAAGCTGCTCCCGACCCCCTCCCCAAATTCCTTTGGCCAGTGGCAAAAGGAGCCTGAGATGGTGAGGGACACACCGAGCTGGAAAAGTGAATCCTCATCTTCCTCCTTGGCTTTTCACTCGTGCTGGGTGAGATTTCCTCAGAGGTTTGCTGAGCAGGGAAACCACCCCATGGTCAGGAAATCCCTTGGACTGGAAATAATTGGAGGCTGAGACAGCACCGTGGGGAAATGTCTGATAATGTTTGCCCTGCTCTTCCTCATTCATGAGTGTCTGATTAATGCCATTGTTGGAGATCGGGTTCTAGACCAGATTAACTCCTAATCTCAGCCTGTTGTTGCCTCAAATTGATTTACACCAGGGAAGAAATTAATTCCTCGAGGGAATTTTTTTTTCCCTAAGGTGGGAAATGTGGAGTTCAGCACTTAATTCTTGTTAAATTCTAGTGGGAGTTGGATGCCAGGCGGGCACACAGATGCTGAGGAATCCCTTCCCTCGTTCTTTCACGGGATATTCAGATCCATTATACAATTTAGGGATTCTTCAATTTCCCCAGTCTTCAGAGCAGTCCTGTGGGAAGCACTGTTGGTGAGCTGCTGTAATTTGCTGTGTGATTTTAGGCAGTTCACTCTGGAAATACTTTATCTGAAGAAACTGAAATCCGAGAGGTTTCACTGTTCTAACAATCAGAGTTTGATTGCCTTGAAAATGTCTTTATCAAGAGTTAACTTTTCCAGGGAAAAGCAGACACTTCTCCACACGGATGTCTCTGTACGCAATGAATTCTTCTCCCATACTTGAAACTTTTATACCTGCAGCCCTCCAGCCCCCAAATTCCCCAAATTCAGTGAGAATTCTTCTCCTACACCTGAAACCTTTGGGTCTGCAGCTCAAAAATGTCACCAACAATTAATTTTTCCAGGGAAAAGCAGACAATTCTCCACATGGAGCTCTCTGTATGCACAGAATCCTCTCTTACACCTGAAACTTTGGATCCTGCAGTCCTCCAGCCCTGAAATTTCAGAAATTTAGCCTGGATTTGTGAGGAGATGCTGTGTGAGGAGCGTAAATCCTTGAGTTTTATTGTTCCCTTTGATTTTTTTTCTGTAGGACATGAGCTCTCTCCACACCCTGCAGCAGCTGGTGTTGCTTCCTGGGCACATGCAGTCAGTCCCCCAGTTCCTCCTGTCCCAGTCTCAGGCAGGACAACAAGGTAAGAGAAGGAAAAGCTGAGATGATGCTTTTTTGGGGCTTACCTAAAAACAGAGGCAAGACAAAACTAAGAGAATAAAAAGCACTTATATTCATTGAAGGGCCTTCAGGTACATTTAGAGCAGACAAAACCCACCCAAAATGGAGATTTAGTTTCACACTTTTATAAGTTTGGTCCATTTGCATTTTGGGAGTGAATCTTCCAATTAGAGCTTCAGCTAATGAAGTCATTTGTCCCAAATTTGCTCCCCCGACGCACTTTTGTTTCCATCTCTCTGGCCTGAGGCAGTGAGGTGTCCTTGATTTCCAGGCCTGGAGAGGAATTGTGTCTGCCCAAAATGGGGAAGCAGCAGCTCACACTGTGTGTGGAGTTTGGAGTTACACACTAAAGAATTGCAGGATGACAAATAGATGAAAAATATCAAATCCTAAGGCGGCAGAGATGGATAAAGACTGAAAAACCTCCCTTCTGGATGTGGGGTTTTCCCAGGGTGATGCTGCCCGGGGATGATCCCGGATCCATGGGGAGATGCTGCTGGCACCGGAGCCTTGTGCGCTCCTCGAGTGCCACCTTGGGGCCAGGCAGGGATCCCAGGCTGGGAAAATCCCGGGATTTTCAGGTCCGGGAGCAGCTCCGGGAGAGAGCGAGAGGTTTGGATATTCCATAGGGCAGGAAAGTTCTCCCTGCTCCCCAAATCAGCTCCAGGAAAGCGCTGAGGACTCGCTCCATGCTTCAGAAAGTCCCTGTAAATCTGGTTTTGCCCCCAATATTTTTCCAGCGTTTCTCCCACCCTGGGGATGTGGAGGGAGGATGTTTTAGGCTTTAATTCATAACCTGGCAGATCCATGGGGATTTGGATCCTTTGCCTGTGCTTTGATTTATCCCAGCACAAGCTCCCTCCACATGAACTAAAATTCAGGATTATAACATTAAATCTCTGCAGCTTGAACCCACTGGTTCACACACTCCAAAAGCAAGAGGGGAATTTATTTCTTCCTGACAGGATATAAATTCTCCTCTCTGCCAAATGACACTGAGTGATGGATAAAGATACTTGATGTATATTTACAAATAATTTTGAATTTATTAGTTTGAAATACAGTCAGGACAATCTATTCCTTGCTGCCTGATTTTATTCATGAATAATAAACACCTTTTACTGCAAAGCAGAACTTGCTGCCTTTGATAGATTAGAATTTATCTGTTCAATGACTTTTTTTGGCAGCTGTGTTTGCTTGTCACCCCTTCCAGTTCCAGGCTTGACCAGGAGTGGATATTCTGGAGTTTTGTGCAGGACATTTCCATTTGCATGGCTGACTGCCAGGTTTTAATGATCCTTTTGCCACATGCATACACAGCCAGTGGGGAGTGAAAATAAAGTGGAATTCGGTTCAAGTGTAGTTTTCTTCCTCCTGAAGAAAGGCAGAAAAATATTCTGGAATTATCCCTGGGTCCATCAGGGAATGCCCCGAGTGTCTCCTGATTTTGGACTGTGGGTCCATAAATGGATTTCCTGGATAAAGAGGCTTGGCTGGGAGCTGAACCTTTCCAACGGGGATATAAATTTTAGTTTGCTTTTGTTTTGAAGCTATCAGATAAATTCCCAGGTCTTAGTCTTCATTCCCAGTAAAACCCAAACCCCGAGTCATGGGTGGGAGAGCTCTGTAAAGGTGGGAGTGAAGAGATTTTGGGAATCCTGTCAGTCTAAATATTGCTGCTGAAATCTTCATCTCAGCTGTCAGACCGGTGATTCCTGAACCCAGCCCTTCATTTCCCTCCGAGCTGGAGCTGAGGTGTTCAATCATGATTTTAAAGACTCCAAATGACAGAGCATCTGCCATGTCCCAAGGCAAAGCCATTGCAGTGATTAATTACCTGCACTGCTAAAAATGTGCACCTCATTACCAGCCTGGATTTGAAATTTGAAGTTGTTCCAGTGTTAGGGAAGGTTTATTCCAACCCCAACCTAAGTAAATAAATGGGATTGTGCACATCAGATCTAAATTAAATAAGAAAAGGCAGAGGGGGGGGGGGAGTGATTGATTCTGGAGATTATGTTTTCCCTTTTATTAGCAGAAGTCCATAAATTTCTATGGATTTCCCTGTAATTGTCAGTTATAATCAATTAAATATATTGACTGCTCTGAGCAAGGTTATAAATCCTCACTAAATTCTGTAGCATTCACTCACAATGGACTTGATACCAACTAAATTTCTAGGGAACTACACAACCTAATCCTGTAGGACATTCCCTCTAAGAGATATAGGCTTGTACTTGGCAGTTTGTCAACGAAACAATTACACACTCTCCATAAATCCCAGTTTTTGTTGGGTTTATGGATTTCCCTTCTTTCTTCCTTTCATCATTCCATGTCAGCTCCGACGTTCTGAAAGAAATTCAATTTATTTGAAATAGAGTAGGGTAGGAAAGGAAGGGTCAGATGGCTTCCAAATGACATTTGAAAATGAAATGTAGAATTGAGAGCAGAGTGGGAGGGCTCATGAGATTAACTGGAGGATCAGGGTTTTCTTAACAAGATGAAGTGGCTGAAAGTTGGAGTCACAAGGGCTTATATTGGAAATAAGAGGTCCATTTTTCTAAGAGCTACAATAATTAAGCACCGAGAGAAATCCCCAGGAAGGATGTAGGAAATTCTCTGCTGCTTGGCACCTAAAATCAAGATTAGAGGTCTCTAAAATGCCTGAGCGTGACGAGCGACACACAGGGATCAGCAAATGAGATATTTCACTTCTGCCATTATTGTAATAATCCCTGCAGGCTAAAAAGCCACAGGAAAAACCTTTTCTTTCTCATGGCCCAGCTCAGAGCCAGACTCGTTCCTAACGGCCAAAATTCTTGTATTTTGGGCAAGAAATAACAAACGGAGCTTCCCACTCCGAGCTTTCCTGGGGGTGCTCACTGACCAGTGTGTCTCTTTTTGATCTCCTCAGCTTTGCAGCCAAACCTCCTCTCCTTCCCTCAGCAACAGGGCAGCCTCCTCCTCTCCCAGCCCGGACCCAGCCTGGCCTCCCAGGTAAGAGCACACCCGAGGGCGTGGCAATGGCACGGGAAACACTGTGGTTTTTGTTATTTTTGTGACTCTGAGCACCTTTTTTGGGGTGGTTTGGACAGGCTGTGGGTCGCTCTGGCCTCCCTGGCTCCTCGGTTGAACCCCACCTGGACGTCCCCCAGCACTTGCAAGTGGCAAAGCACCTGACCCCAGCAGGAGCTTCCGAGGAGCCCAGCGACCTGGAGGAGCTGGAGAAGTTTGCAAAGACTTTCAAACAAAGGAGGATCAAGCTGGGGTTCACACAGGTGAGAGGGAGGGGATGTGGGGGAGTTTGGGGCAGAGCTGTGGATGAAGGAAAGGCTGGGTTAAATTTGGGTTATTTTGCAGCATTGCCTTCCAAATACACAAAGAGACAAACCCTCCCTAGCACCTTACCACCATAACCTCAATATCTGCACCCTCCCAGCATTCAGGGGTGGGGGCAGATTCCTGGGGGCAATAAATCCCCTTTCCCTGGCAGGCAGGTCATGGAAACAAGACTGAAGCTATCCTGGAAGAAGTCTGAGGGGATGTTTAGGCTACAAGAGGAATAAGTCCTTCACTGAAAGAACGATCTGGACTCATCTGCCCAAGGAGGTGGTGGAGTCACTGTTTAAAAAAAGCCTGGACGTGGCACTCAGTGCCATGATTTATTTGATGAGGAGGTGTTGGGTCATAGGTTGGACTTGATGATCTCAAAGGTCACAGAATCACAGATTTACAGGTTGGAAGAGACCTTCAGCATCATCAAGTCCAACCCAGCCCCAACACCTCAACCCTGGCACCCAGTGCCACATCCAGGCTTGTTTTAAACACACCCAGGGGTCGTGACTCCACCACGTCCCCGGGCAGCCATTGCAGAACTTTATCACCCTTTCTGTGATAATTTTCCTAATATCCAGCCTAAATTTCCCTTGGCACAGCTTGAGAGGTCCTTTCCAGGCTGGTTAATTCTGTGACTCTGTGGTTCTGCGTGGGGCTGGGGCAGCTGGAATGGGTTTCCCCGTGCTCACGCTGGGATTTGGGTGTCCCCTGGCAGGGGGACGTTGGCCTGGCCATGGGGAAGCTCTACGGCAATGACTTCAGCCAGACCACGATCTCCCGCTTCGAGGCTCTCAACCTGAGCTTCAAGAACATGTGCAAGCTGAAACCCCTGCTGGAGAAGTGGCTCAGTGATGCAGGTAGGTGACATCAAGGCAGAAATGCCACCAATGCCTTGTGCAGGCTGGACTAGAACAGAGCTGGAAAGAATAAAGCAGGGATTTATTCAAAGGATCTCCTCCATGGATCCACCTTGGGCAGCACCAGAGCTCAGCCACGACTGCACCCAAGATGAACCAAAATGGTCCAAAATGAACCCAAGATAACCCAAAATGGTCCCAAAATGCACGAGCGCTCCCGGGGGCTCTCCCTGGGATCAGTTCTGCTCCATTGGCACCTTGGAGTTCATTGTCCCATTCCAGCTTCAGCCCAGGCAGTCCCATCCTGCTTGTTTTTCTCTCTCCAGCCCACGGTGTTTGTGCTCCTGGGCTGAGGTTTGGATCATTTGTCCTTGGTGCCCAGCTGGAGCAGGAATTGTTTTGTGTCCCTGCTCTGTGCACAGAGCTCAGCATCCCCTCATGTGAAGCCCAGACCCACTGAAGCAGCACAGAATGTGAAAAATAGAAAAGCCAAACCTGAGGCATCACCACCATCAGGAGAGGATCCATCCAGGAACCTCAAATCCCTTCAGCCCCTCCCTGTGCAAGCTGGAGAAGAAGGGGAGGAACTGCTGAGATGCTGAGGGATCAGCCCAGGAGGTGCAGCTGGAAAAGGATTTCCCTGAGAGGGGAATTCCCAGGGGCAGCAGGATTTGGAGTGGGTCCTGTGCTGACCTCACGTCTGCCTCATGCTTCACCCAACCCTTCAGGATGTCTGAGCCATTGGTCACATCTCAGCCACCCCCAGCCAAATGGTTTGGTCACATCCTTTTCTGTGTGAAATGAAATTATTGGAACACTCCTGGTCCCTAGCAGGGCAGGCTGGAAATCAGGCTCACAAAGGAAAAACAATGTGTGGATTAAAACATTTTACTGCTTTGACTTGGACAAGTTCATTGATTGATTCAGAGCAATTTTAATCATTATCAGAGGGAGGATCCACAATGTAGGAACAATTAATCTATTTTAGAAGGAACACTTGTTTCACAGGAAGTATCTGGGAATGAAAATAACTCGTTATCTTCTTGAATATCTTTTTTTCCCCCTCCCTCTTCCCCCAGAATCTGCTCCTTTGGATTCCTCCATGAGCACCCCCAATTCCTACCCCTCAGTGAACGAGATGTTTGGACGGAAAAGGAAGAAGAGGACCAGCATCGAGACCAACATCCGCTCCACCCTGGAGAAGAGATTCCAAGATGTGAGGGGAAAATCTTTCTGTCTGCTGGCAGCTCTCCCCGAGCCTGGCATTTGCAAGCCTGTGGCACTGAGTCCTCTCAAGAAAAGAGGGTTTTTTAGGGGGTATTTATTTGATAGCAGGCTAGAAAACGCTTGAAGAAGCAACAGGAAAAGTGTGAATCCCAAAGGAATTCCCTATTATTTGACAGTAGGTTAAAAATGCTTGAAGGAGTTAACAGGAAAAGAGTTAGACCCAAAGAAATTCCCAATTATTTCCTTGTTGAATGTTATTCCAAGGGAATTATGATCTTAGCACCACGTTTCCCCATTTTCACCCACTGGGCCAAAGCTGATCTCTGCACCCAACTCTTTTCTTTGGGAGTTGCAGATGTGTCACAGGAGCTCTGTGGCCACAATGCCCCATTGAGCAGCTCTTGTGAGTCCCCAGAACTTGTTGCTGCAAATATTTTTCCTGAACCCGTTCAGAAGTGGAGCCCTTTCCAAGAATTTCAAGAAAAATCACTGCAGACATCAAATAGAATTTTAATCAATACGACTAAACTGTGCCTTGGAAATCTCTCAATCAGAACTGTTCCTGTGCTGTTTTTTTCTTGTCTTCTGCCTCATAGAAAAACTTGCTCAGTCTTCATCAGATCATTTTAGCAGCTCATTTTGAGCTGGTAGAAAGCATTTTCTGCAATGGGAATATTATCTTGGCACCTCTGTGCCAGGTGTCTTTGACATTTCTGAGCTTCAACTCTGAGCAGACCCCACAGAGCTAAAAGGAATGAAAATAAATGACTCGGGGGGCAGGGTGGGCTCCGTTAATTCCATTTCTAAGTGAGAAAGGGAAGAGAGGGGCAGTGACTTTTCTGAGCTTGGACAGTGGCAAGGCCACCAAGTTGAGGTGAGCCCAGCACTGATTTTGGAGCTGATAAGGTCGAAGAGGGAAGTGATTTATAACAGGGCAGGAGCTGTGACTCATCTCCCCCTGAGCTGATGTGCAACCAGAGGCACTTTGTGGTTCACAGAACCTAATCCCTCACCCAAATATTTACCCTGGGAGCTTTTG